GCAGATGTTGTGCATATATCTTTGTGTCTAAAACAAACAGAGAGAGTGGTTTCCATGCAAGGCGTGATAGGCAGAAAGCTGCAAGAGTAGTGGCTCAGCATGTAATATCCCCAAGGATATGTATCACCAGCTTAGTGAACACCCCAGAATGTCATAGATGCGTACGAAAAGAAACAGACAGCAATAAGAAATCTTGCAGACGGATCACAAGAGAAGATTCAAGTAGCAAAATTCCCCAAACCGAACGAGGAAAAACGCGAAAGCTTCGCGAAAGCGACGCGCAAGGTTGGCGAAAGACGAGCCTGCCCGAAACCATCGGGAGCCCAAATGGGCTAGTCCAGAGTCCACGCCATGTCGCATCTTGCTTTTCTTTTCCAGGAATGGGTGAACAACAACTGTCCCGAAGCCAAGCGCCCCAACCGCAACACCACCTTGCCCAATGCAAGTGCCAAACCTCATCAGTGACAGGAAAAAACTGCAAGAAATCATGCGAAACAATTACTTCGAAGACGGAGTCGATGGCAAGAAAAGAAGCAAGCTGCAACGAAAGATGTCTGAATGCCCATGAAGGAGAAAAGATCTACCGAGCGCCCTTGGAATAACGGGAACCAAAAACCAAAGTTATCCAGAATCCACAATCCACACTCCCCAAAGTAGTAAGTAGCAGCGGCACATTTATTGTTGCATATACGATGGATGAACTTTTGTGGCTCTACTCAGATCCTCCACCGAAAACAAAATAACGAAAATAATATCATATATCCTAATACATTTTACATTGGGGGCGAAAGGATGCGAAAGATCCGCGAAAGCGCGGCGAAAGAACAATTTTTGGGAACCATAATTTTGAACAACCCCCATATAACCTGTCTCAACCCCTGGTGTTCGTTTCGTGTCACATGCTTACGTCGACATCATGGCGGATTTCACGCGAGCAATGAGCAGGAAAACCTCCAGAGCTGCTCAAGCTGTGAGCCATTTGATTGGACGATCGACCAGGCAGGAGGTACACTGTTTCTGGAGCCATGCTGCACCACAATGAATCTCTGTCACATGGGCTCACCGAAAAACAAAAGAAACACCACTGGACCTGAACTGAGCGTGCTACTTGGACCATCCAGGTGCGTGGTACTTGGACCAGCCAGAGTGGTGCTTGGGCTCGTGGGAAGCTCAGCCCCTCACCTTGGCCGCTCGGTGCAACCTCAAACGGGTGAGGTGCACCATGCAGCCGGGGCGGTGGCCTCCCTTGGACATGTGGTGGCTCTTCCAATCTCGCCCATCCTGAGAGCCTTGAGGCCGACATGGATAAAGTTTCGTTGTGGTGTTTTGTTTATCTATAAATGATTTGCTTTGCGTTTTTGGCTTATTTGTTCTTGGCAGACGCTTGAGGAACAAAGGAGACGGAGTGGAAGAATGTGGAACATACTTACCCATGTCATACGTCACGATGGATGTCATTCTTTCGCCCAGGCGTGTCCTCTCTTTCGCGACCAAAGGTGCGAGATCGCGTCTCGGGACGTCTTCGCCGCCTGACAACCGTCTCTTGCCGGGTGTGTCTGGAGAGCACTTTTCGAAGACAGTGGGTCTAATTAACTTCAATACTAATTCTTGTTTCTAGTAGACATAATAGACATTGTTCCTAGTAGTAAGGCCAGGAGCCCCTAGTAGCGTCCAACAGAATATATAGATTAAACCTTCACCGCTGCGGATTCATTGTGTCAACCGATTTCCCCCACTTGAGACGCATGCATTTACTTGCATGGCGACCGACCGGCGACTCTGATCCGACGATGGAGGAGTCGTTCGCGGCGCCACCTGGTTGGCCGCCGTTGCGGATGCGGCTGCAAAGTCAGCCCAAGCCAATCAGGTGGGATTTTCTCTGTGGAAAGCCGGGCGAGGGATCTACTTCGTGTGAGATTTTTCTGAATCGTTTTTCACGGCCATGTCAGAAGTTTGAGTCTGGATGCAACAACGTGTTGACCAACAAGTGTCGATGCCATGTCACGACACTCCTTCTGGGTATGCCATGTCCGTCCGTTCGCGCCGGCGTGGACAGGACGGCCGCGCGGCCCAGGCGGCCGAGGTCGTGCCGACCGAGCGGCCGAAGCGGTCCAGGCCGGTGTCGAGGTCGTTGAGGTTGTTGAGGTGGAGGTGACTGGTGGTGGCAGTGGGAAGGAAGAAAAAACATGAGAAGTGCATGCTGGGAATGATGGAAGAATGGGGTGATTGGAATGAAGGATTAAAAGTGAATGATAGGGATCTTCATTCATTCTTTTGTCATCATTTCTTACGTTGCCAAGCTTCGAGTTTTCCATTCGCAGGTTCCGGAACCCATTCCTACGAGATGAAAGCTGACACAAGCTGACACAGGGCTGGTCAAACGAGAAAGCCACTTCAGGCATCTGCAGCCCTGTCGCCAGCGAAGAAAAGTCTGCCGCTGCTTTGCACAAGCCTACATGCCAAGTCAACATGGGTTGCTTTGCTTTGATGTGGCATTTGCCTGTGGCCAGGAGCACAAAAAGACCTGCAATAAAAGCAAAGGCCACAACCACGAGGACTGCCCGAGAAGCAGTGTGAGAGAGAAGTCGTGAAGAAGAGTGTCGGGAGGACAAGAATAAGGAGAACCAGGCACCACCATTAGCCCTACTGGCAGCTTGGGGCTCAGTTCTTTGCAACTTTGCTACTTAACTTTCTCCTTTGGTTTTTCAATTGGTTCAAAAACTAACAGCCCTTCGAAGAAAAACACTTCCTTCCGTCCCCCCACCGTTGACACGTCACAAAACCACCGAGGAGAAGTGGCTGCTCTCCGGGCTGCGGTGTTTGTGGTCGGCCAACGTGCCGCTGTGGCTTGGAAGGACGAAGGTGGCCCTTTCCCTTGTTTCTAATAGCTTCTTGTTTCTAATCCCAAAGAATCCGGCGATCAAACACCTTGTTTCTTGGGGTGTCTCGTGATGAGGCAGTCAATACCGATGGTGGGATTGCACAATCAGGCCAGGAACGATGATAGAAGCGTGCAGAGGGTGGAACTTGTGTGTTGCGTTGATTTGTTGCAACCGTGTTCTCAGGGGAACACCTGTTACCTCAATGCTATCCTACAATGCCTTGTACATACACCTTTACTCTACCAGTCCTGGCCTCAAAACTCGACCAACGGAAGCGGAAGTTGCACCTGCGCAACCGCGCGCTTGCGCGCGCCACCGCTCGCCGCCTTCTTCGCCGCGGCGCTGGCGACCGAGCTCAGGTTACTGCAAGATCTTCCACCAGGTTGTCTTGAGCAACAGGAGAGAGGGGCCCGGAGGGGCCAGAGGGGCTGGAGAACGCAGGAAAGCTGGCGCTTCAGCAGGGTTGAGGTGTTGGAAGCTCTCAGGTTGACTAGACTGGGGCCTTTGGGGTCTGTCAGCATGCTTTCGTACTCTCCATTTGGTGCGCATGTAGAAGGCAGAGAGGACCGGCCTTTGCTTCTCACCCCAAGCCTGAAAAGAAGCTGCAACTGCACGAATGGAGGACGAAAGGCGGTGGCTAGCCGAAGCGATAGGGCTCTTGCAGGACATGGCCAAGGCAAGTCAGCTCTTCACAAGACCCAATGGACTCAATTTTGTTGAGCACAGTAGGAGTTCAGGGTTGTGTGGAAAAGGGGAGAAGTGTTGAAGCGATCAATATTGGTGGTTGGTTGGTGGGTTGACAAGCTGGATAACTTTCTCTTGCCGCTTGCCCAGGCCCACGAGCGCGGGCAGACAGCGATCTCCTCCAACATTGCTGGGTGCCGCTGCGAGTTGTTGGGTCGGACGAAGATGCTGGAAGCGGTGAACGTTGGGGTGCCAGGTTGATTTCTGTGAACAAAGAGTTCACTCCAGGACAGCAGGCAGGGTCCTGGGCTTGAACATACTTGAACCACAGCAAGTGCTTTTTTTTCAGGTGAAAGCCTGACCAGAAAACGAGCTGGCACCACTTGACTTACCAGTGTTCTACGGTGAAAGCCAACGATTCGTTTTCTCTCGATGGTAGGCTGATGCTCACGAAGCCTTCATGTTTATCATTGAGAGGCTCTCGGCGATCTCTGAGACGGCGTGCGAAGACGGGAGCAGCTAACGAACGTAACAAGTGCATCGCTACGTTCATAACAAGTGCCTTACTAGTAGTAACAATGTTCGCTAGTAGTAACAAGTGCATCGCTAGTAGTAACAAGTGCCTTACTAGTAGTAACAATGTTTGCTATTAGAAACAATAAATATATTAATGTTTGCTACTAGTCATGGGCTTGTGCAACCTGACATGGCGCCCCCTCACTCAATGAGGCCGAGGCCCAGAGTGAAAGGGGCGCTCTGAGAGTGAACATTTGGCTGCTCAGGGGCAATGCTCCAGACCATTTCCCAGGTCATAGTCCCGGAAAACAAGTCCAAGCTGCACCGGAACAGTAGACCACAACAATGACCATCAACTACTGAGATGAACATCAGTGTTTGTTCGTTTTCTTAGGTGGCTTCAGAACTGACAAGTTCCACCTTTGTGATCTTGTCATCTTGTCGATCCATGTTGATCCCATCCAACTGCAAGTGATAACAACATGTTCAACTAGGGGCTCCTGGCCTTACTACTAGGAGCAAGGACGCTAGTAGGGGCTCCTGGCATCGCTACCAGGAGCATTCTTACTACCAATAACATGTTCCTGTTTTTACTTCAGCTGTTGACCGCCTTTGGAGGCTGCTGACCGCCTGCCTGGCTGTGGGGGTGGGAGGCACCGAGAATCCCGTCCTCGAGGCGGCTCGCAGCAGTCCAGCCGACAAGGAGCCCCGTTCCACCGACGGGGCACCCGCCGTGGTCCCGTTCCAAACTCGTCCGTGGTCCGTTTCGCCGATTTGGTGGTGGCGGGTGGTTTTGTGGTCAGGGTTGACTCATGGATTCCATCGATTCCAGCATGGATTCCATGGGTTCGATCCTCATTTCTTCACATTGGATGCTGCTTTGGCCTTTTTCGCTCCATCGTTTTCTTCGCCGAAAAGGAGACGTTGGAGCGCAACAGCCTTATCGGCTCGGTCTTCGGCATGGAGCTGGGGCAGGGCATCCGCTGTCGCCACTGTGAGCATCACACCAAGCCATTGGTCCACGCGGAGTACTGCATCTACTTGAGGACTGGACAGACGGAGACGGACATCCACGCGGAGTACGTCTGTCCTAATACTTGTAACACTGTAACAGTAAACAATCATCAATCAATTATATTCAGTTAATCAATGTTTATCACTCTTTTTTGAGAAGGGCAAGTGAACCATCATCTAATAGATCCCATAGGATAGACCCAACTTCGGCCCAAAGGCCACTGGGAGTTCGGGTGACTTTCGGTGAAGATGCATGGGCTCTTGGGCTGGATATAGAGGGACGGGACGTGTTTTCGGCCAGCCGCACAGGGGGCCACCAGTACAGAACTACGAATCAAGAGGGTGACCGGTGACTACCAGGTTTAAAAGACATGCAGCATGGAGCATGCAGGCATCCAAAGGTTGGAACCCACGTAAGAGAAGGAGCTTGCATTAAACATCATCATTAAATGGCCACGCCTGTACAGAGACTTGTCTTAGCTCCATCTCGGTGTCCTCAGGGCAGCGATGGGGATGGAGGAGACCGACTATCGGCGTAGGCTTGCGGCTTCCGTCGGTCGCCACTTACATCGTTGCAGCATATTTCCTTGATGATTGAACCACAGAAGTCAATTTGGTTACGGCCTCCAAAGAGTCAATTTGGTTACACATAGTAATATGACCAACAAATTTAAGAGTTCACGCCATGATATGAGATGACGAGTTGAACCACGATGCTTATGTGCACATTTGATCATGTTTGTAAAGGACTACAGTAACTAGATGCTGGTTTTAAGATGACAGGAATGGGGACAACACAAGTTTGCTTGAACATCGCGACCTTTGAGCTCGTTGAAGATGAACAGACTTATGATTATGAGACATGTTCTGCTTTTATATCGCCCAACAAAAACCGCCCATTTTGAAACATACTCTGTTGACATCATTTGAGGGAGTTCATCCTGGTAGGGACCCTAGCTTAGCAGCTTCTACAGGCCTGGGGTAATTCAATTCACCCCTTTCTGCGGGACACGAATTGATGACGAGCATTTGAGCCATGGCGTTGCAAGCAATTCTGCTGAGTGCCTTTGCCACTTTGGGAGGTCTGGCATGTGGGGCAGCTTGGTGATGTTTAGGACATGTGGAGGAAGGGTCGGGGAAGCAAAGAAAGGCCTTTATACACTCCGGAAAGAGTCTGCTTTGCAGAAACCATGTCTTTGTGTTTTTGAGATACGCGACGGGACGCGTGACGTACACCCAGGCTGCAGGATCAAGAGCTCTTCTACGAAGAGGTCCGAAAGTTCCTTGGGCAAAACTCTGTTCGAAAACTTTTCAATCCAACTTTCCGGCGTGGGACGTGGCTGCCGAACATCTCCGAGGTCTCGCGGCTACAACGAGCTTCGGGGGGCATTTTCGGCGCTGGTGCTGGTCATTGTCGGATTGATTGGCCTGCTCTGGTGCTTCCTTTCGCCCCCGCCATTTTCCGCGCCTTAGTGTTCAACCTCGTGGATTGTGGTGGTGTGAAGGGGAAAACCAATCCGGGTCACCTGTGAGGTGACACTCGAACCATGAGCCATGATCAGCCTGGCTGTCATGTCATTTCCGTTTCGCGATACCTTTTTTTTGGCCCCACCTAGATCGAAGTTGATGGTCCGCCAAGCTACCTTCGGAACGATCCCACGCGCTCCGTCTACTTTGGCCGCTGGGCGGTTGTTGCTTTGGGTATGCGACAGTGCGACCGGGCGACCGGGGGAATGGCCAGATCTTGGATGATGTTGCTTGTGTGACGAAGAATGCCCAGGAGGGCTTTTGGTTGCATAATTCTGTGTTGTCAGAATTCAGGGGGGAAGCATGGGGAAGCTCAGGAAATGGTTGCTTCTGGCACACACAGTATGACTTTGTCGTGCTGGAGCAACACCCTGCTGGCCCATTTCGAAGAAATGACACTGAAGTTACCAGCCTTGTGGGATATGCTGGAGGCCGTTTGAACCTTAGATTGGCTGAGTTTGGAATTCCGATGTGCTGGCGCCTTGTTGTCCTGGCCGAGCGACGGCTTCTTCCAGGTTTCCAGAGCCCCAGCGGTGCCGTGTGCTACCATGGCTGGCCTGGAACGGACTACTCACGTTTAGGTGTCTGGTTTCTGAAATGATGAACCCCGCAATGAAGGATTTGGTCACCCCAGATTTTACATGGTTGGCAGGCTTCAGGAGGTTTACTTGGTTACTCTTCAGCTGTTTTTGCAGGTCATGCAGAGGCAGTATCCATAGAGTTGGACACTGCGACTGGTGAGCTGGCGCGCAAGCAGGTGCGGGTGGATTGTGTCTGCTAGTTTCTATTGTTTTGCTCATTTGTATTGTTTTGTGTGGGTGGACCGACCTGTAAGCTGTTCCCCAAAAGAGCGCTGGTGAAAGAACCCGAGTCTCCAGTCTTTGTTCGAACTGCCAGGTAGCGGCTTTGGCGAAGGACTACTTTGAGCACGGGTTTCAGAGCCTCCCAGATGGACGGAGGCTTGTGATGTGGTGGATTTTTCTTTGTTATTTTTTGATGACTTCAACTGATTCGAGCCATTGAAACAACCCTCAGGCTGTTTGAAAAGAAGTTTTGTATAAGGCGACCCTCAGTCACCCATATGACGGAGGTCGTATCTCGGCTGTCCCCAGGCAGCGCCTGGATCCACAGGATGTTGGGGCAGAGTACCGCAACGCCTTTCGGGCTGCGTTCAGACTGCGCATGTTTCGGACTTCTCTTTGGGTGGGGTTCCGGAACCAGAGCGGGACCAGGGATTGGACGAGACCGCCACTCCAAATTCTATTGAGTTGAAGGGGGCCTGACGATTGCGGCCTGGTTCTGGTCGGTTGGTGCTTTTTTCCGTGGATGCTTGGCACAGCTGCCGCCACCCAGCTTAGCTGGACACTTTCTTTGCTTACAGGCAGTAAGTAGAGACTGCTCCAGTGTGCTTGGAAGTTTGTCCCCTTGTTTTTGGCTTCCGTAGTGGGAGGATCGCATGTTTGCAGCTGGCTTCTGTCACATCAGTCGTTCAAGATGCATTTCTCACAGAGCAGTATGATGGACAATGCAGTTTCCATATTATAGACATGTTCACTATTTGGGGTTTGTTCACAGACTCTTCGATCTAGTAACTAGATGTAACTAACTAGTAAAAGCAGATTGCTCACACGTGCATTCTAGCACTCCAAGCGGCGCACCATGGCTGAACCTGATGCGAAGATACTATCTCAGGAAGAGACAGTCGCATTGATTGGCCCGATGTTATCGACCTCAGGTACAGAATACCGAAAGTTCAAACAAGCCTTCATCCGCAAGGCCGAGCCGAACGAGAAGGTTCAGACCATCCTGCAGGGGAAGGTGGAAACCGAAAATGTGGCCAGTGAGGGTGACATGGTGGTCCGTGCAGACACCAGCTCCAAAGAAGAGTATATCCTCAAAGCCGAGACCTTTCAGAAGTTCTACTGTGATGCAGCTCCAATCGATGCCGCCCACCCGGATGCTGCGGAGCTGCAGCGTTTGGGCTTCCAGGCCTATCGACCGAACCGGCGTTTGAAGGCGGTGGAGGTGGACGCCGCGCTGGCCGCCAAGTTTGAAGGCGGGCGTTTCATGGCGGCGTGGGGAGAGCCGATGTGCGTGGAGGTCGGGGACTTCCTGGGGTCTGGGCAAGTGGCGGAGGACGGACGAGTGCTGGAAGTGATCCGGATTGAGAGGAAGTCCTTCTTTGAGACCTACGAAGCTTGTCCTTAAAGCAGTGATTGGACATGATTGGACCGCTGGCGAGTCTTGAAAAGGCTTATGGATGTGAGCGGCGTGTCGATGATGAGATCCCTTGACCAATAGGTGAGACATATCTTGCTCCAAACCCATCCAACCTGTAAACTGGGCGGAACTGATGCAAGCTCAACCAATCCCCTCGACCAACGAACACGTCCGTCACGGATGCATCTGTGGAGCATCAGCTGAGGTCATTGGCCTTCCCGGCGGCATGGACAATCAGGAACTTTGGCCCCTCATTGAGGCACGTCCAATGAATCTTGCGTAAACATGCATGAAATTGTGTTCTCAACAGAGCCAAAAACCATTAGAGTCATCATTAGAGACAGACCCCAATCTCCGTGTAGCCAGAAAGGAACTCGGGACTTCGTGCCATGTTTTGAGTGGCCAAAAGGGCAAGATATCCATGAACTGTGGGGAAGGCACGTCTTGCATGGGAACAAAACAGCAATGCAAGGCCGCAAGGCGTGCTGTACCTTAACATTTGTCTTGCCCATTTGTCTAGGTAGAATGTGTCTATAGTCGTTTAGAGTTTAGAGATTTCAAGACCGCACTTGTTCTGACACGCCGGGATGTTCAGGCCGGCAACGCCTACGGAATGCCCCTGCGGCGAGGAGCGATCGGGGATTCCGAAGGCTCGGCTCTTTGCGCGCCCGTCCAGACGCCGGTGCCGAGCGGACTGGCCCTACCAAACCCGGAAGGCCCTTTACATTGTCAGCCTGTTTGTTCAGAATGCAAAAACAAGAGATGAAATAGCACAAAATCCGATATGAAGCGGTCTTCATGTGTAGGAAGACATGGTACAAGGGCTTGTGAACGACGGGCGACGCTGACCGTCAAGATGTGCCTGGAGAGGTGAGTTTGTGGTCTACGTTTACGATTCAGTGCAGTATCCCTTTTTCCGTGGTGAAGCTTCGCATCAGTCTCCCTGCTGATCATTGGCTGAAGTGAACCGTGATGAACACCTGCAGGTGAAGAGCTTTCTTTTGGATCTTTTTTGGGAAGACACGTGCTGCGCATTGGAAGCCACGACGCCTCGTGGCTCGATGCTACGGGGCTGCTACGGGTCCAAGGTTTCATCCGAACAGCGTGATCCAGCGCCCGGTGCCGGCCTCCTACACCGGGGACTTGAAAGCCACCCAGGCACAGCTGGGCCGCATTGCTGAAGACAGGCGCATCGGAAGGAAGGGAGGTTCTGGTTAGCACTTTCAGACTTCTTTCAGTCAGAAGGATCAACTGACATGTGCATACAGCGGCATGCCATTGTCTTTGTGATACCTTGTGACTTGAGTACTCTTGGTTTCCAGAAACTGTACTGTACCCCGTCAAGGGCGATCAAAAAAATGGGCCAGCCACTAAATACTTATTTCACGGTGATTTTCTAGAATCCATTAAGGCACGGCCCAAACGCATATAGGTTGGAGGCCATGGCTATTAGGTTGGAGGTTGGAGGGCAGAGCGGCCTTTTAGAAAATGTGTTGACTCACAGCCATATCAAGAACGGTTCTTTTTCTCTTAAACCACTCGGAGGGGCTGCACCGGGCTGCCCGTGGAGCTCTCCGCGCTGATTGCGTCGCTCGGCAGCACAGCGCCGGTTTTGGGGGGCGCTGACCTTTTGTGTATACAATTAAGATCATTTCAAGATCATTTAAGTACTTCTAGAACCCTACATTTTGTTAAAGCGCTACCTTTTTGTAACCAATCATTTCAGCGGTGAAACCGGACCTTGCCGTCCTCACTGGGACACGACCTAGCTCAAACGGTTTAGTCACGGAAAGTCCACAGGACTCGCGAGCGGTTGAAAAACAGGATGATTTTTTGGTCGGCTCAGCATTTTAAGTCCCAAAGAAAGACCATCTCCAATAGAATGATAAACTGATGCTATGAAGATCTATGAAGGTCATTTCTTTCATTCTTCTCGCTTTGTTCTCTCCTTCCGGAAGAAACTTTTCACACCCACTGGAAGCCTATTCAGCTGTTGAAATACGCCCAGTGGATATTGCCAAGGTTTGTGTGTGCTGCTGCATGCTCCATGGGGTTGATGCTGCTCGGCTGCAAGTCTAAGATAATCTGAGGCCGCGGTGGAGCATTGTTTGCTTGAACATAAAGTGGCCATCCTGCAAGGACTTTATAGGCAATTACAAGAGATTCGTGTTTTTTTGTACTGGGAGACTTTCTGCAGTGGAATATCTCGGAGTCCCACGAGTGAGGTTCTTGTACAGCAGCTTGTTTTCCGAGACGAAGGCCTTTGAATGCATCAGACCGCAGCGGGTAGCGTCCGCCCACGACGTCTCCCACGGCTCCCACGCGTAGCACGCGCTGCTTGGCAGCTGGGCCGAGAGTGCTGGAAGGGTGCCCCTCACAGGGTTCGATCGCTCGGAAACAACAGAGAAGGTGGACGGATATGTTATGTTATGTCTTAAGACCTGCTTTGGCCTATTTATGTGGCCTTTCTGTTTCTTTTCCAGGACTATTTCATATTCTACCAGGACTATTTCATATTCTACCAGGACTATTTCATATTTGTACAGAACTATTTCATATTTTTTCAGAACTATTTCACTTTTCTGTAACAATGCTCTTGTTTTTCACATTAACTACATCATTGTTTTTCCCAGAATTTTAGTGATAGTCTGCCATGGTCTATAAAAACTGTGGCTGAAAGCAGCCTTGATTCTAGAACAGTGCTGGCAGTACTGGCAGTACTGGTGCTAAACCCTAGGACTTCCACGTCCATGAGGAAACGTTGCCAGGGCCTTCCATGAGCTCTCAGGCTCAGGAGTGATCTGAGACATGGAGTCATGGAGTGCTCTAAGAACATGCTTGGGACTCTACTGGTGATGAGTGAGCGCACTTTAACATTTTAGCGTTCTTTCAAGTTCTTTCCAGCTTTGGCCCTCCAGCTCTTTGTGCCATGACCACGGCCATGGATTCGCAATCACTGTCTGCTGTGTCAGATATTCAAGATTCTGATCAGCACCTTGACTGTTGGGTAAGTGACGATGTGTGGATTTGTGGTTATATAGTTATATATATATACAATTGACAATTATTATATACACCTGCTGCCTGCTGCTTGCCATAATCTACACTAAAATTGTTACAAAAATAGAATTAACTTAAGTTCCGGAGCTGGGCTGTACTGTATTGTATGAACCCTGTATGTGAAGATGACATTGTCATCTAAGGTCTGACTCTGAACTGTCCGATCCACATGGCCAGCCAGTCTACCTTACCTGGGCAGACCGAGTTTGTCTCGCGTTGAATCTGAAGCACTTGGCTTTGGATAACTGTGGACAACCGCCCAAGCAACTTGGACCAGCCATGTCACATGACAGTGTTTTCTTTTTCGCTTTTCCTGGCATGGGTATGGGCTGGTATGGGCTGCTGAAAACACTGTGGAGGCATGTGGTTTTGCTGGCTCATACTTTTCCAAGGTATACTTTGCTGGAAGCATGTGCAGGAGCAGCAACAGCTACAATGTGTATGCCACTTGGTTGTTCACTCACCAAAACAACACAGGCCCAGGCACACAAACAATCAGCACAGATCAGATCGAATAATACTGCTGCAACCTACCTGCGTACCTGCATGTGGCATAAAAATACTATTGCAATATTAACATAATGTTTACTCAGTCTACTCCGAGTTTTACCGGTTTTGATTGTTGAGTCAAGAGTCAAGAGTCTTTGTATTATTGTCTACTGATTTTGCTCCGAGCTTTACCGTTTTTGACAAACAGACATGAAACATGTCAAGTTTCCCGCTTTAGCACTGCTTGACAAACGCAGTGCTTTGAGGAAGGACATTGCAAGCGTCCTGAAGATGGACTGGAAGACGACTTCAGTGTCAGACACATGCCTGTTGAAGAGGAGGTGGATCAAAGAGCATTTTTCTGCCAATGGCCACTTGGAAGGGTATAGAAAGAATCCTGAATCCTCAGAGCAGCTCCAGTAAAGGACTCGTGATTCAGTTGATGAGGTGTGTGACCTGGTTTACAACAGTTTGTTGTTAGTTTGTTTGTATTGGAGCAAGATCACTGAATCATGCTATGAACTAAACGCTACAGTCTAGAGGCTAAAGGATTGGAACTCGAAAGTTCAAAGATGTATCAGACGTATCAGTAGAAAACGACTCATTCTTTCCTCTTAGTGGCATCAGTAGAAGACGTTGTCACAGCTTGCACTGAGTTGACCACATCTTCGACGATATGCGCTTCGGGACGACTGGCGGCCGGTGTGAGACCCATGGCAAATGTTGCAAGTCAGACTTGCACCAGGACAAGGGCACACGTTTTTGGATGAATGGGACAGGCTAACAGACTAGTTGACTAGTCCAGTCTGGTCTAGTCATTAGTTTTCGAGTTTTTGTTGGAGTCCAATTGCCAAAAAAGATATTAATTGAATATTCTAATATTCTAACAAGTTTTGCAGCATGCAGCCGCCACTATATGTAAACGTGTTCAAAACACACACACACTAATCATCATCACACTGGTTTAGAGTGGACTCAGGAAGCTTAGCCTCCATTTTAGTGTCCATTCATCTGAGGAAAATCTGTGTTTATGGGCAGCAATGCAAGCAAGTGGAAACTAGAAGAGAATCCTTGCTGCGCCCCTTGCTTCAGGACGTATTTGTCTGGGGGCCTCCGTGCCAACCTTACTCGAAATTGAACTCGCAGCGCAGCGACCCCACCTTTTGCCCACTGGATACCAAAGAAGCTCAGCCCTTCGTGCTGGGCTCAAGACATATCCGATACTCAGCTATGTTCCAGTCAGGTACATCGGTACATTGCAAGACGTTGTTGGACAGGGACTTTGGTATTTCAAAATTCCAACTCTTCAATACAATACGGTACGTTGAGGAAGCAGCGGCTCTCACTGTGACCCACTGTCTAAACAAGCAGACTTCTAGGCACACTGCCACACTGCACTTTAAATAGCAATTTTCCAGGATCCTGGACTCATTGACTCATTGGAATTCATTTGATTTGTAATTTGTAATTGGTCAGGCTAATTCCGAATTCCCGCTTATTCTTGGTTTGATTCCCTCTTATTATTGGTTTGATTCAAGGCCTTTTTTAGTGTGAAGTCTATTCTTGTCATCAATGTAGTCAGAGCCGAGCCAAGAGTGGTGCATGTGTGTGTGCCTCTCTGTCGTTTCAGTCTTCAACAGTATGGTTGCCAGCTATCACTGGCTCCCTAGGACAGATGCGGCCATTGGTTGCAGTGATGGAAGAGGCTGTCAAATGGGGCAGGGTACAGGGTCTGCAGTCTTTGTCATCAAGTCTTGACTTTGGGTTTTGGAGCATTGCGTTTCCAAACAAAAACGCACTTGCTTTGCATGCTGTTCATTTTTCACAGTTCCTTGAAGATCAGCGTCCAAGCATTGGTTCTTCATCCCGTATTTGCAGCTTTGTTACAGTTCGTTGTTCGCTTGTTTCTTTGGTGGTTTCGTTACACGTGCGCTGCACCTGCAAACAATTAAGATGTCTGTGTACTGTGTACTGTGTACTGCATACAGTCATACAGAGTCATACATATTGAACTGTTCATCCTTAGTAGCTGACCTCACCTGTGTTTTTGTTACTTTTGCAATTGCCTCTTTCACTTCCCAGTATACTTACTTGCCACCATCTGGCTCTCTTGAGATCTCCCACAGGTCATGGGAATTCACGATGAGTTCTTGGTCTTCAAGAACCAGTCCCACCCAGACTACGCAGGATTGAGGCAAGGGAGTTCCAAGGCGTTGCCAGTTTGGCAGTCTTGGGCAGTTTTGGTTTTGAGGTCAGGTCAGGCAGTCAGACAGCAAACTCATTGTCATTGAAGAAGTGTTTTCGATTTGAGTAGAAGTAGCCAGCAAGCAGCAGTAGCAAGCGGACTTCGGCATTCACAGTTCATTCTGTCCTCCCTCCTCCTGTCCATTTTGACTTTTGGTTTAGCTACAGCTCAACAGAGGTTGAGAGAAGAGATGCATTGAAAGCTTCAATCAATCACTCAGCTTACTACAGGTTGCACGTGTGTGGCAGCGTGTAGAACTAACGTGGATGACAGGAGCACAGCAAATTTCAATGACTGTCACTGTCAGTGTGATATACTGATAGATATGATATGATTCGATATGACTACTACTACTACTACTACTACTACTACTACTACTACCTGTATACTGTATACTAGACTCACTGTACTGTTTTAGGACTCATTTAGGACAGCGCGATTGCAGCAATGTTTCACCAGTGGCTTGGCAACTTAAAGTTGCCATTTGGCCATGTGGTGCCTAAGTGCCCTTCGCAGAAGACATGTTCAAGAGAGGGCTGGAGCCAGTTCAAAAGAACCCCAAGCCAAGCCGAAGCCTTCAACTTCAAAGAGGCTGCAGACTGAGAAAGCTAGGGTAAAGAAGCTGCTGAATTCCCAGGCTGCAAAACTCAAAAAGGAAAAGGGTTTGGATGGACACTTTGCAGGGACCTCAACTTTGCTGCCCACAAGTTTCAAAGATCATTTGAGACATTATTTCTTTACCCAATCGTTTGCGACCGTGCAACAGCAAGAATATGAGAATCACGATTGGAAAACATTCCAGAAGGACAGAGCCAGAAGTGTCTACTATCTCATTCAAGCACTGGTGGCTACCATCACCAGCCTCTTCTCTGTTTGCCAGCAACAAGCTCAACCACACATATTCCACACTACCAACGTCCACATAGTTGACGATACTTCAACAAAGATGAGGCCGCCAAGCAAACACAATGAAGGCGGCGCGTCTGTGTTCACGATCATGAACTCAGTACAAGATGTGCATGTCAGGCTTGAGAAAAGCACCAACTGCTGTGCTTGCCTGAGCTTTCGGTTGCCAACACCACTGATAGTGTTGGAGCAAGCAAATGCCAATGAGATTCACAAGGCCTTCTCATCACTTGCCTTGGTGACATCAAGAGGCATTGGTGACATGCTTCATGGTTTTGGTCTCCGGAGAGATTTGATAGAGAGTGGAAGCCAGTGGAAATCTTTCATTTTTATGGGAGATGCTCTGAGAGCAAATGATGCTTCGTATCGAAGAGAAGTTCAGCTTTTGGCGTCCTCAAGAAAGGAGAGGCACCTTGCCTTACGCCTAAAGTGTGGCATCCATCAAATCGCGCTGGTCCGAAAGGTTGCAGTACTTATGCCACCACGCTTCTGGTCAACTGTTGTGAGACTGGCGCATTTATTTGAGGTGTTTTCATTCAGGCGGTCATACGCTGAGACCTTGGCGGCTTTACTCTGCAAAAGTTTTACCCACATCCCAGTTAGTCAAATGCCGCCAGAGGCTGCTTCC